TTTCAAGAATAGATTATTTAAAATATTTTTAAAAAATCGTAATTAGATAAATGAAAATTTAAAACGAGGTTTTTCCTACAAAATTTTGGCAGAATCTTTTATTAAAAAAGTAATTAAAACATCCCAAACAAAACAATATTCTCATTTTAATACTATGCTTCGAGGCATAATTTTACGCAGCTTGAAATTAAATTTTCCATCGATTTGATTTCTCTGGGGACTTATCTTAAAAAAATATGTAAAGTTTTCCAATTATATTTTGTTCAACATTTATTCATTTACTGTATTTTGCTCTACTGTGGTCAACACTCTTCTCGAAGGGTTTTCTCCATTATGAAACCATTCAAAACAATTAGATCCCTGAAGGTCAGTCCCCCGGGGCCTCGGTGGTGAATACAGGCGTTCCCCAGTGGTCACTTCTCGGACCAACCTTCTTTCAGATTTACATAAATGATCTGTTTAGAAATATACTTAAGATAATTTGTAAACGGCTCTGCCGATGATACGACAATATACGCGTGCACCTCTAAAATTCTTGACGATCATAGATTTGCAGTTGACCTCTTTTCCGATCTAACGATCTTTCCAGGGGAGGGGGAATAGCTGGTTACATTCAATGCCTCGAAAGCAAAACCGGTTATATTTCATCACCACCGATAAGACCCTGAACTACCGACAGTCGTGATAAACGGATGTCCCCTCGAGGAGGCTACATACCTTGAGAGAATATTGGGCCTCAAATTTATACCGGACCTCAAGAGGAACTCTTTTATACGATCAGTCGCTTTGGCCACCTCGAGGTGGTGTAATGGTTAGCATGCTTGTCTCGCTAGAACAATTATAACTGAGTAGTGAGATCGATCCTCACTGGGTGCCCCATACATTCGGCCTTGTGCCACATCTGAGCTACGATTGGAAAATCACTATACGATCCATCGCAGGTAAAATGATCGGTTCTTTGTACTACACCAGTAAATACCTGACTTCTCATGTTATTCTTACATTTACACGAGCCAGATCAGACCGAAAATGGAGTACTGTTGCCTTATTTGGTCGGGAGCTGTTCAGTCCTGACTTTCCAATCTTTATAGAGTCTAAAAGCGTCTCCGAGTCCTTGTTGGAAAAGAATTATTTTCTACCTTCCAATCTCTCTTTCACAGACGGGATGTGGCGAGTTTAGTCGAAAAGCATCTTACACTCCTCAATGTCGATGTATATTTGGTCGGGAGCTGTTCAGTCCTGACTTTCCAATCTTTATAGAGTCTAAAAGCGTCTCCGAGTCCTTGTTGGAAAAGAATTATTTTCTACCTTCCAATCTCTCTTTCACAGACGGGATGTGGCGAGTTTAGTCGAAAAGCATCTTACACTCCTCAATGTCGATGTATATTTGGTCGGGAGCTGTTCAGTCCTGACTTTCCAATCTTTATAGAGTCTAAAAGCGTCTCCGAGTTCTTGTTGGAAAAGAATTATTTTCCACATTCCAACCTCTCTCTCACAAACGGGATGTGGCGAATTTGGTCAAAAAGCGTCTTACACTTCTCAATGTCGATGTATAGTCATTTGTAAACGGCTATGCCGACGATACGACGATATACGGGCGTACCTCTAAAAGTCGTGACGATCATAGATTTGCAACTGACCTCTCTTCCAAACTAACGATCTTTCCAAGGGGGTTGGGAAATGGCTGGTTACATTCAATGCCTCGAAAACCAAACTGGTTACATTTCATCACCACCGATCAGATACCGAACTACCGCCAGTCATAATGAACGGGTGTCCCCTCGAGGAGGCTACATGTCTTGAGGGAATATTGGGCCTCAAATTCACACCCGACCTCAAGTTGAATTCCTATATACGATCCATCTTTCTGATTTACATAAATGATCTGCCTAAAAATATACTTAGATCATTTGTAACCATCTATGCCGATGATAGGATGATATATGCGTGCCCCTGTAAATCTCTTGACGATTAAAGATTGGCAGCTGACCTCACTTTCGATCTAACACTAACTTTCCAGTGGTCGGGAAAATAGCTGGTTATATTCAATCTCTCGAAAACAAAAATCGGGATGTGATAAGTCTTTCACCGGTCTATCGAAAATTGTCCCTGGACAGTTGCGTACCAGACAATTACCTCCTCCCTGGACATTTGCGTCCCTAGATAAATCCGTTTCTGGATAATTGTGTACCTCTGATAATTTTTTTGAAATGATGATACTTTCTTTTAAGAGTTGCTAATTGCAAATCAACTTTTACTTTTTATTCTAAACAAGCAAAAAATTAACATAAATTTTGAAAGAAAAAACATTTTGAAGATTTGTTTAATATAGAAATTTGCACACCAATACCTTTAATTACTCTAAACATTCAGAAAGGTAGTTACCACAAATAAAAAAGAAAGAGAGAAAACTTTCTTTTTTAAAGCAAGAGAAAATTAAGCTAGCGGTTTCAGTTCACTACAAAAGCGCGTACCACAAACATCTTATAGATTCTTTATAGATTGTATTTTTATTTGGGACGCTTGGCTAAGTTCCGAAAATGAAACACTGCTGGAAAAATATTTGTGGCCGAGGAAAATTTCAGCTGCCACTTTCATAAAGAAAACACCGATGAAACAAAAAGATAATGGCAATGTGTAGAGCAATCTTGCAACCTTATTCATCTGTCATTGCATTTTAAACAAAAACAAACTTTACTTTTTTATTTTATTCCTTTTTAAAAAAGATTATGATTACTGCCTATACTTTTTTTTTAAAATTATGGAAATTGTCTTTAAGAGCTTAAGAAAATTATCAGAGGTACGCAATTATCCAGAAACACATTTGTTTAGGAACACAAATGTCCAGAGATCAAATTCTCTGGTACTCAATTGTCCGGGACGCAAATGTCCAGTACGCAACCAGAACCCCAAATTTTGAAACAGAAATAACAAAACTTAAAAAAGAAATCAGCAGAAAATATCTTTAGTTTGGGACCAAGTTTACTCTCTGCTTTTGTCTGCTTGTTTTGTTTTAATACGTCCTGTGAGTGTCCGATTCTCCAAGCACGTTGGCCGAGTGGTTAAGGCGTTGGGCTTAAGTTCCAATGGACAATTGTTCGCGTGGGTTCGAACACAACTCGAGCTATTTGGACACCTCGTGGCGGTTTAATGTTTAGCAAGTTTGCCTCGCTAGAACAATTACAACTGAGTGGTGAGTTCGATCCTCACTGGGTGCCCCCTACTTTCGGCCTTGTGCCACATCTAAGCTACGCTTGGTAAATCACTAAGTGCTATCTTTTAGTCAGTCGAGTCAGTACTTTCTGAGCGACTGTTCGGTTGTATTCTCTTCCTACGGACGGGAGGAACCCGAAGGAGGCTACGCCGAAGGGCGGAGTCTCCTTCGGGGAGGTAGACCGGCCTTGAACCCGTTTATACGGGTTCAATGGGCATATTTTTGGCCGAGCCCACGGGCTCGGGAATGCCCACGTTAAAAAGGCCTTGTGCCACATGACACCCTCGTGGGGGGGGACTGAATATCGTCAGATTCTCCAAGCCCTCTTTCCTCATTATGTGTCCTTTACCCACTCTCTTTCTGATTTATTCTGAACTATGCTCTTCGAAATGGTACACCTCCACCCAGACAGCTACGAATTAAATGTCCAGTACGCAAATAACTTCCCCTAAAATTTAGAGACTTTATATTTCTTTCTCGTTCTTGATGTTCTTATATTTTCCTTTGTAGTGATCTACCGTTTATAATATTTTTATGTCAATAATGGTAATGGTTATAGTGGCCGTTTCCTTATAAATTATCATTCGCCATTCTTGACCGAGCAGCCAATTTTACTATCGATTGAAATTATTTAACGCTTCTTTCTAGCCTTCACGGGTAGGACCCGCCATGCCACATACACAATAACAAACCACCCCCATTCCCTTCGTGTTTCATTGGTAAGAAGTAAGTTTCCCTCGAACAGCTTCTTCCCACCAACCACTGCCCTGTGGAAGAGACCCCCAAGAGGATGTTTCCCCGATCATTACAATCTAAACCTATTCAAGTCTAGAGTTAACCATTATCTTCCAATCTTATCCATATAAACTACACTTTAAAGTAACCCCCTACATGTTTCTTTGTAGTGATCTAGACTTTATAATATTTTTATGTCAATAATGGTAATGGTTATAGTAGCCGTTTTCTTATAAATAATCATTTTTGACCGAGCAGCCAATGCAAATATCGATTGAAATTATTAAACTCTTCCATGTAGCCTTCACGGCTAGGACCCGCCATGCCACATACATAATAACAAACCATCCCCATTCCCTTCGTGTTTCATTGGTAAGAAGTAAGTTTCCCTCGAACAGCTTCTTCCCACCAACCACTGCCCTGTGGAAGAGACCCCCAAGAGGATGTTTCCCCGATCATTACAATCTAAACCTATTCAAGTCTAGAGTTAACCATTATCTTCCAATCTTATCCATATAAACTACACCTTAAAGTAACCTTCTACATGTTTCTTTGTAGTTATCTAACCTTGATAATATTTTTATGTCAATAATGGTAATGGTTATAGTAGCCGTTTCCTTATAAATAATCATTCGCCATTCTTGACCGAGCAGCCAATTTTACTATCGATTGAAATTATTAAACTCCAAAAGAGGAAAATACATTTTTCAAGCCCACAGTCATTGCTCTTTCTAGTATTAATTAATTAATTAATCAATTAATTAATTAATTAATTCTAACGTTCTGTTTAAAGGCCGACGGACTTATGGCAACGTCACATTGAAACATCAGTTCTCGTGCGATCACCGAAGTTAAGCATCGTCGAACCTGGCCAATACCTAGATGGGCAAACGTTTGGTCATACCAGGCGCTGTAAACTTGGGCGTTCGGATGGTATAATGAGTGACTACCACATCACGTGCGATCGCCGAAGTTAGGCAACGTCGAACCTGGTCTCTAACTAGATGTGCGAACGTTTCACCATGCCAGGTGTTTTAAGCTTGGACGTACGGCCAGATCACATGCGATCACCGAAGTTAAGCAACGTCGAACCTGGTCAGTGACTAGATGGGTGACCTTTTGGGAAGGCTAGGTGGTGTAAGGTTGGATGCACCGGTGGTGTAATGTATAATGGCTCGTAATTGTTAATCGGAGAGCCTAGTTTCAATTCTGACAGCTACGGATTAATTAGCCGGGTACACTGGGGTATGTTGCCGTGTCTTCCAGCCAGTCTAGTTGGTGGGGGGCTGAATTCAAACCAACCTGATGAAGAATCGGCCCCGACACACAATCTTGTCCTCGAGGCACCCACTGTTTCTACAGCTGCAGTGTATATCGTCCCAACGACCCTAATGGGTTACAGGCCACATCATTATTATTTATTTACAGCTTAGGTCAAAAGTTTATATAGGGTGCATCTATTTCCAATTGTATTAGCGTTTTGGTATTGTTTACTGACACGAAGAAATTATGTCGGCTGGATCGCTACAGAACGTCCGTAAGGAAAATAAATCAAAAAAAAAATCACCAAATCAAATATAATTTATCCATTTTTTACAATAGAACCGACCGATCAAGAAACACACATCTATCATTACCGAATAATATGAAGAAAACATTCGCCATCTTTATAAATATATAAAAGAATTAATCGAGACCAGCATTAGCGGAAACGCAAAATGCGTATCTCTCACACTCTCCCTATCCCTCTCTCTCTCTCATACACACACTTTCTCTTACTCTCTTAGACACACACTCTCTCTCACTCTTAAACACACTCTCTCTCACTCTCTTACACACACTCTCTCTTACACACACTCTCTCTATCACTATCTTACACACACTCTTTCTCACTTTCTCTCACACACACACTCACTCTCTTACACACACACTCTCTGACTCTCTTACACATACTATCTCCTCACTATCTTACACACACCATCTCTCTCGCACTCTTACGCACACTCTCTCTCACTATCTTATGCACACTCTCGCTCACTCTCTTGCACACACACTCTCTTACACACACTCTTACTCTCTTACAAACACACTCACGCTCTTACAGCCTCTCTCATTCACTTGCACTCACTATCTCTCTCACTCTTACACACACTCTCTTTCACAAACACACTCTCTATCTGTATTCCTCATAGACTCTATTTCTTCCTCACACATATACCCACTCTGTCATACACATACACGCTTATCTTACTCTCATATACTCTCTCTCATACACGCACTCCCTCAATCTTTCTCTCACGTACACTCTCTCACACTCTCTACCTTTCAAACTATTTATCTCTCACACACACGCACTTTTCCTCTCTCTCTCTATCTCACACACACACACACACACACACACACACACTATATATATATATATATATATGCATGTATATATATATATTTATCACGCAGTCTCACACACTCTCTCTACCTTCCTCTAACATGCACTCTTTCTCTCTAAGACACCCTCTCTCTATCTCTCTCACATACTTATACACATACTCACACACACATTCTCTCTCACACACTCTCTCTCTTTCAAGCACACACATTGTGTTTCATATAATTTCGCACTCTCTCACTCACACTATCACACACACACACACACACTCTCTCTTGATCTCTCTCACCCACACTGTCTCTCTCACACACGCAATCTCTCTATCTCCTCACACAAACACCGTATTTCTAACAGACACTCATTTTCTTTCATACACGCACTCTCTCACACTCATATTTTCTCTCTTTCACACAGACACTCTCTGTCTTTCTGTGTCTTTCTCTCTCTCTCTCTCTCTCTCTCTCTCTCTCTCTCTTTCTGTTAGGTACCTATTCTATTGTAATGGACTCCCCCATAGATAATAAGTAGGGGTAGCAGTGGCAAGTCTGGCAGAATGGTGTTGAGCGCGTCAGTCAAGATTCGGACATTTGAAGTACCAACCATCACAACTAGATTTGCTGCGCCATTGACTCTTATTTTCCAAGTTCCTAACGTTTTGTACGTCGGATCTAATTTAGGACGACTTATTAGAAATACAAGCCTCCACTGTGAAAACACTCCACAACACTTTCTCATGCACAAAAATACATACGTTTGTTTATATGCCATATCCTTTTATGACGTGGGTGACCATAGCTCTCCACACCTTCTTACACTTTGTACATTGTAGCAATGTTTGTCTTTTTTACGTTTTAAACCCTGTTCTACTCTCCATCTCGTTAAAAGATTGGATATTAGGTTGTTCGATAAATAATGTCCGAGTTTAGAAAAACATTTTTAAGAAGTCCTTTCGAAGTTCCGACATCTAACGGACTCGCAGCCTAACTGCAAAAACGTAAATATTACTTGATGTGTGTAAGTGTATTATAATTATAGTTTATTTATGTGGGATTCGGATGATAATGTATATTCGCGCGTGCGCGTGTGTGTGTTGTATGTGTGATTATATCATGGATATCGAAACTGCGCCCATCCCCTTCGTTTGATTCAGTGTGATATACGGAGGATGACGTATTAAGTAATAATAATAATAATAATAATAATAATAATAATAATAATAGTAGTCGTAGTAGTAGTGACAATAAAAGCTCAGAGTGAGAATGTCGAAAATACTTCAACAATCCCTGTAATATTTAAGCTCTCGGATTGGTTTGAAAAGATTTGAAGGGATTCCTGGAAGCGCATGCCTTAAAGAAATACAAAAAAATTGTTCTCACGAGTACAGCCCACACCTTACGAAGGGCTTTGTCTATGTAAATTATGTGTTTTTTTTTCTTTTGTTTTTTTTTTTTTAAATTGGTCAGTGGAAAATGTCATGATACCATTTCTAACCTTAGGTCTCTGGTCGGGACCCGGCAAGAAATGAGTATAAACCAGAAATCAATTGTAATAAAATAATAATAATAATAATAATAATAATAATAATAATAATAATAACTTCCATGAAATCTTTACCGTTTTTTTTTTATTATTTTCAGATGACTCTAAATTCTTCAGTTAATAATTGAATAAGCTGATGGCGAGTTCTACGACAATAAAATATCCGTAGAAATTCCCCTATCGCATCGTTAAATATTTGAGCTTAACAATTTTAACAAAATATTGCAATAATAATCATAAATATGAATGCTGGTGATTATTTTAAGAAGTGGGTACAAATGAAAAGATTTGAAATTGAGAAAATTTTTCATTTCAATTAAGCCAGAAAATATTGTTTTAGATTGTAAGAAATTTTGGAGATCATAATGATTTACCGATCCATGTTCTACTAATTAACTCATGGCGTCAGTATCAAGAATGAACAGGACATGAATAATAATAATAATAATAATAATAATAATAATAATAATAATATTGTGGCACATGTCAGCATCAACAATCCTCGTTGTAGTTGGAGCCCTCGGATTGGTTGGAAAAAAACTCCAGTAGACTAATTGAAGGGATTCCTGGAAGCCCATGCTTTAAAGAAATACAAAAAATTGTTCTTACGAGTACAGCCCACACCTTACGACTTACTCTATGTAATTTTTTTTCCGGTGGAAAATATCATGATGCCATTTTCTGACCTTAGGTCCCTGGGCGGAACCGGAAAGAAATGAGTATACATCAGAAATCAAAGGAAATAAAATAAAGATAATAATAATAATAATAATAATAATAATAATAATAATAATAATAATAATAATTTGTTTATTACGTGAAAAATTTACGGTTTTTCTCTTTTCATTTTCAGATGATATTTAATTCTACAGTTAATGATTGAATAAGTTCATGACAAGTTCTACGACAATAAAATATCCGTAAAAATCTCCCTATCGCATCGATAAATATTTAAGCTTAAGAAAACTTTAAGTAAATGTTGCAATAACAATCATAAATGTTGGTCTTTATTTTAAGAAGTGGGTACAAATGAAATGATCTGACATTGACAACATTTTCCATTTCAATGAAACAGCCGTTAAACATTTCTATTTTCTCTCTTTCTTCCTTTTTCTCGGTGAAACCATGTAGTGTCCCGAGGTTATTGGCGCCCAAATTAATATAATGAATCCGACTAGAATTGGAACTCGGCTCTTCGAGTTCAAATTCCGAGGATTTATCCATTACACCACCCGCATATCGAAGCTTACGGCACTTGGTATTTCTAAGCGGTCACTCATCTAAGTACTGACCACGTTTGAAATTGCTTCGAATTTGCTGATCGTACAAGAACCAATGTTTTAACGTCATATGGCCGTAAGTGATTAAATGAAAGACGTTGACTATCCATTTGCGTCAAAATAAAAATGAAAAAAGTTCTAAGATGATTCTGCATGTGTATATGCTTGTGAACATATCTGTACCTGCGAATGTTTATTTCATCGAATGAATATATGTTGAATGTTTGTGTTGCGGGTGGGGGTCAGCATTGAGAGCGCAGGGTGTGTCTTAGAACAAAGAACGTCAAAGTAATTTGTTACTAATCTGTTTGTCTCTGCCACGGGGCAATCAAACTATGATAAAGACCAACTTAAGAACTTATTAATTCCTGGCAATAGACATGATATTGAAATAACTGGACGTGAAAAAGCCTTCGGGGTTCTTCAGACAATACTTCAGTCGAGAATTGCTTAGCTTCCATAGAAGAAAAACAAACACAAAAGAACATTATTATTATTATTATTATTATTATTATTATTAATAATAATAATAATAATAATAATAATTTTCTACCAGTCGTAATCAAGTGAATGCAAGTCTGCTTACGACACAGCACTCTCCTCACTATTCTTGCTCATTTTAGTAATGCTGCCGTATAGATGGTTTCAATTCTTCCTTGGGTTTCCAATTCCAATAAGATCTTTTCTATTGCCATCACTGGAAAACGAGTTACAGTAAGTCACCTTAATACTCCAGAACCTTCCTCAGTATTCCTGCTCATTTTAGTAATGCTGCTGTATGGATGGTTTCAATTCTTCCTTGGGTTTCCAATTCCAATCAGATCTTTTTGATTGCCATCACTGGTGAACGAGTTACAGCGAATGACTTTAATACTCCAGAACCTTCCTCAGTATTCCTGCTCATTTTAATAATGCTGTCGCCTGGATGGTTTCACTTCTTCTTTGGATATCTAGTTCTTTAATACTCTTTGCTTCACTCTCCAAGACTCTTCCGATGACTCCGATAACATTTGGTACTGCTCGCACCTTCGTACGTCTCAATATTTTCTAACTTATTTTTATTCAGGGATTTATGGGAAGAAAATTTCGTTAACTGAGATATTGTTGTTTACGAGAAATAATCTGGACTCCGGGCCTGGATAGGTCTCCCATTCGAATTTTCGAATTTCAAGTGATTTTTATGTTTTATTCTTGAAGGCTGTCTCTTTGATTCCATAAAACTCTTTGTCTCTATGGACAACAATGCAATCGCTTGCTCAGTTCCCGGACATCCCTGATTACTTCCATTCATATTTGCTATTAGAAAACGTCTGGCTATTTTTTTTTTCATTAGCTTACATTAGAATACACTGATAATAATAAGGAGAAATATATGTGGAGAGTCATGATCGCCTACATTTTGAATTTCGATCACATTTAAAACGGCGTAATGGACAATAGAAAAACACTCCACCATTTTAACTCATTGCAATTTACAGATAAAGATAAAGAAAAGGAAAGTATGTATAGCCATTGGCGTCAGTATCAAGAAGGGTCAAGCCATGAATAATAATAATAATAATAGTAGTAGTAGTGGTGGTAGTAGTAGTAGTAGTAGTAGTAATGATACTAAAAGCACAGCATGGGAATGTAGAAAATGCTTCAACAATCCCTGTAATAGTTGAAGGTCTCGGATTGGTTCGAAAACATTTGAAGAGATTCCTGGAAGCCCATGCTTTAAATAAATACAAAAATTGTTCTCACAACTACAGCTTACACTTTACGAAGGGCTTTATCTATGTAAATTATGTCTTCTTTTGTTTTTTTTTTGTTTTTTTTGTTTTGCTTTTTTGTTTTTCTTTTAATTGGTCAGGGGAAAATGTCATGATACCATTTCTGACCTTAGGTCTCTGGTCGGGACCCGGAAAGAAATGAGTACACACCAGAAATCAATTGAAATGTTTAATGGTTGTCACATATCTCCTGTTAATCTCCCTCTGAAAGTTCTCCACTGCCATAACCAGGTATTAAACTCACACTTTTGGGGTCCTGTCACTGGATCTAACTAACGCCTTTATCCACTGTGCCATGAGTCCTCAATAACATGGCACGTGGAACTAGAACAGTCTACCCCAGTGATCGAAATAAAGGATTCAGTTCGACATTCCAACCACCTGAAGAAGGCCGGAGCGTACAACGGCCGAAACGTTGTAATAAATATGGCGACAAGGATGATGGCAATAATCCGAATAATGTAAATAATGTACATAATACCTCTTCTCAGAAATACAGACAGATCCGTGAAATTTTTACCGTTTTCCTTCATTTTCATTTTCAGATGAATCTAAATTCTTCAATTAATGATTGAATAAGATGATGGCGAGTTCTACGACAATAAAATATCCATAGAAATCCACCTATTACATTGTTAAATATTTGAGCTTAACAACTTTAACAAAATATTGCAATAACAATCATAAATATGAATGCTGGTTGTTATTTTAAAAAGTAAGGGGGTACAAATGAAAAGATTTGAAATTGAGAAAAATTTCCATTTTAATTAAGCTGTTAAACACTTTTATCGTCATTTCTTTCTTTCTTTTTCTCACTTAAACCTTGTCGTGTCTTTTCCACTCTTTCCACGCGAATAAGACGGAATAGTCTATCATTTATGAGGTATTGGCAGGAAACTTTAAACACATCTTTCTTTCTTTCTTTTTTCTTTCTTTTTTTTCCTTTCTTTCTTTCTTTCTTTCTTTCTTTATTTATTTATTTATTTATTTATTTATTTAAACATATACCGCGCTCTAAACAGAAAAGTCTATTATTTATGAGGTATTGGCAGGAAACTTGAAACACTTCTTTCTTTCTTTCTTTCTTTCTTTCTTTATTTCTTTCTTTCTTTCTTTCTTTCTTTAACCATAAAGCGTCTTTTTTCCTTCTTTCCATGTGATCTAAACAGAAGAGTCTATTATTTATGAGATATTTGCAGAAGAATTTAGACACATTTTTCTTTCTTTTTTTTTCATTTCCTCACTGAAACCATGTAGTTTCTTTTACCCTCTTTCCACGCGATGAAAATGAAATAGTTGTTATAATGAAGTATTGGCAGTACGTAACGGTCGTGCAAACTAACGATGGAAAGGACAAGCAGAGTTATAATAAATCAGGAAGGAAATAATTGAATATCCATCGCTTTGAGTGTTTAGTCTAGCATGCAGATTAAAATCTTATCTGCTTGATTCATTAAAGTTTCCTCTTCAGTTTCATTAATTTTATTTAATATATGTCGCTTAGAGTCGATTCTGATCTTTTATTTGAAAGATTTCTGTATTTCTTCGTTTCTTTTCGCCATTTGTTGACTTCGGTGCGGTAGTCACAAGCGGCCATATTGGTGTTGTCTGCTCTTAGTTTATTTCCTTTCTGAAAAAAAAAAAAAATTGGACAAAAAATCCAATTTTTTTCAGGAAAATAGACCAGGATTTTTTATTTCATTTCTTTTTTTTTTTGGCCTGTAGAATTCAAGGAATGTGCGCAAGTGATAGTTGAAATAAATGAAAAATTGTTGAAATAAATGAATGTATGGACGAAACAAAAAATAAAAAAATATAAGGAAACGAAGTTATTGATCGATCATTGGTAAGAGGAAGCCGGAAGGTAAAAAAAAAAAAAACAGTATAAGATAGTTGAGTAGAAAAGAAAGGGAGCAAAATCGAGGAAGGAAAAATAGAGAAAACGAAAATAAAGTAATAAAATAACGTCTGCGGTAAAAGCCAAAAAAAAAGACGATAAGAAAAAGAACGTAAAAAGACACCATAGAAAGTAGGAAAATAGAAAGAAAGAAAGAAAGATAGAAACAAAGAAAGAAAGATTGAAAGAAAGAAAGAAAGAAAGAAAGAATGAATGAAAGAATGAATGAAAGAAAGAAGGAAAGAAAGAAAGAAGGAAAGAAAGAAAGAAAGAAAGAAAGAAAGAAAAAAGAAAGAAAGAAATAAAGAAACAAAGAAAGAAATAAAGAAACAAAGAAAGAAACAAAGAAGGAAATAAATAAATAAAGAGAGAAAGAAATAAAGCACTAAAGAATGAAAGAAAGAAATAAAGAAAGAAGGAAAGAAAGAAATAAAGAATGAAATAAATGAAGAAATAAAGAAAGAAAGAAAGAAAGATAGAAAGAAAGAAAGAAAGAAAATAAATAAATAAATAAATAAAGAATGAAAGAAGGAAATAAATAAATAAAGAAATAAATAAAGAAAGAAATTAAAGAAAGAAACAATGAAAGAAATAATGAAAGAAAAAAGAAAGAAAGAGAGAAAGAAAGAAAGAAAGAAAGAAAGAATGAATGAATGAAAGAATGAATGAAAGAAAGAAAGAAGGAAAGAAAGAAAGAAGGAAAGAAAGAAAGAAAGAAAGAAAGAAAAAAGAAAGAAAGAAATAAAGAAACAAAGAAAGAAACAAAGAAACAAAGAAGGAAATAAATAAATAAAGAGAGAAAGAAATAAAGAACTAAAGAATGAAAGAAAGAAATAAAGAAAGAAGGAAAGAAAGAAATAAAGAATGAAATAAATGAAGAAATAAATAAATAAAGAAAGAAAGATAGAAAAAAAGAAAGAAAAAATAAATAAATAAAGAATGAAAGAAGGAAATAAAGAAATAAAGAAATAAATAAAGAAAGAAATTAAAGAAAGAAACAAAGAAAGAAATAAATAAATAAAGAATGAAATAAATAAATAAAGAATGAAAGAAATAATGAAAGAAAGTAAGAAAGAAAGAAAGACAGACAGAAAGAAAGAAAACGAACAAATAAATTATTAAGAAAGAAAGAAACAGAAAGAATAAAGAAAATGAAGCAAGCAAGCAACGAAGTGTAAAAGAGAGGAACAAAGAAAGCAAGCAAATAAAATAATGGGTGAGAAGGAAAAAATTACTGAAACAAAACGAAAAAGTTTTTTCTTTTAAAGCAGAAGACAGAAACAAAGAAAAGGAGAAGAAAAAAAATGAAGAAAAATAAAATAAATTAAATTAATAAAAAAAAATATTATTTTATTTTTTCTTCATATCCTGTCACACTCAGTAACCCGCTACATCTTAGTGGCTTTATTGCTTTTCTTGGAGAGAAACTATTAAAATTTAATAAGTTTGACTGTCTAACTGCGACCTGTTCCAGCTAGATAGTCAAACTCTCTGCCTGTGAGCAGAGAGGAACTCGGACGTGGCTCCACCGAAGGGCAGGGTTTCGTTCGGGGAGGTAGACTGCCCCTCGAAAGGGAATATTATTGGCTGAGCCTACGGGCTTGGAGAACCCACATTAAACCGGCCTTGTGCCACATGCAGCCCTCGTGGGGGGTAGCTAAATATACAATTAAAATTTAAATGCAATGTCAATCGTTATCTTCTGTCTTCTTAATTCTTCTTCTTTTATTGTTCTGCCTCATCAATATGATTTTTCTTTTTCTCGTATTCTCTCAAAATCAGTGAGCCCTTGCATCTTAGTGGCTTTATTGCCTTGCTTTGGGAGAAACGATTAAAATTTAAATGCAATATCAATCGTTATCTTCTGTCTTCTTAGTTTTTCTTCTTTTATTGTCGTATCTCCTTAATACGGTTTTTCTTTTTCTCATTTTCTTTACAGACTCAGTAACGCCCTTGCGTCTTAGTGGCTTTATTGCCTTGTTTGGAGAGAAACGATTAAAATTTAAATGAAATGGCAATCGTTATCTTACGTCTTCTTAATTCGTTTTCTTTTATTATTCTCTCTCCTTAGTAATGTTTTACTTTTTCTAATACTCTTTTACACGCAGTAACCCCCCCCCTTGTGTCTTAGTGGCTTTATTGCCTTGAGAGGATAGAACAATGAAGACAACAAAACAAAGAAGAAATAATGAAACGGAAATAGAAAGCAAGGAAATGAAACAAGGGAAACAAATAGGCCACTATTTTTTTTTAAATTGTGAAAGAAATTAAGAAAAATACTAAGAAAGAAAGAGAAACGGAATGAGTAAGAAAATGAAGAAAATGAGAGAAACAATAAAAACAATGAAAGAAAGAAATAGTTAATGAACGAAAGAAAACGAAAAAGAAAGTAAAAGCAGGCTAAAAGGAGAAACTGGAAGAAGAAATAAATAAAGGGTGTTTCATTAAGACGGATCAAAGTCGGCAGTAAATAAATCAGTGTTATTTGTGAAAATTTATTTATTTCTCTATTGGATCCTGTTATTAAAGTTATGGCAATTATGTGTGAAAAATAATATCGCCAAAATATCAGCCAAGGCTTCAGCGGCACATCTCCACTCGATGGTCAACATTTTTGATGACGTCTCTGCATAGTTGCTCCTCGATCTCACTATCTCATCCTTCAGCTGTTGAATTGTTGTTGGCTTGTTGGGATAGACCTTACTTTTGAGATGGCCACCAAAGGAAGAAATCTAAACGCGTCAAGTCGCACGATCGTGGTGGCCAATTGACTTTGCTGTTTCGAGAGACGATGCGACCTGAGAACTTCACATTGCATTTCCGTTTGAACGTCAATTTTCGATAACTTTAACAAGTTGTTTGATTGTTAATTTTTTCATGATTGAAATTGCCAAAATTGTTAGATCTGAAAGAGAAAGAAAAAGAATCATTAGACGCTTAAACTTAATTCACATTTAAAATAGGTCCAAGTTATTGGAACACACTTTATAATAATGTCAAAAGAAAAATATTAGGTTGGTGCAAAAATAATGTCGTAATAATATCGTTTTTGACGTTAAAAAAATACGTCAAAAACGACATTATTACGTCATTATTTTGCACCAACCTAATAATAAAGGAAAGCGAAAGAGAAGTATGAATGAAAGAAAAAAATGCTCACTGATTAATAAATGTAAATGGCGGAGCCACTCGTATCCGAGGATGCCAGTCTACTAGGGCGGCTAGCTAATCCCCATTGCAGACGCCTACTCAGGCACATTTGTGTTTGTTCAACACTCACACAGCCCACCAGTGGTTTATACTCCAACTATGCTGAGCAGACCTTAGTTACAGTTTCTGAGAGAGAAGCGTGTAAGCTAGCGTGGTCACCAGTCTGAACAAGGATAGCACGCTGAAACCCTCGGTCACGATGACTTGTGACTTTTTGCTAGCACAACCACCGACGTCTCCCAAGGACTCAGTCTGCCCAACTTTAATCGCAAGGCTTGTATCAACTCGTGGTATTTCAGGCATTTTCTAACGGTGACGCACACTGGGATCGAACCCCTACAGACCTTTAACATCAAGAAGTCACCTACTTGACAAATCGACGATGGTGACATTCAAACCCGGCCTCAGAAGCGAACATTCTAACTACTCATCCATGTGCTCTATATATATATATATATATATATATATATATATATATATATATATATATATATATATATATATATATATATATATATATATGTGTGTGTGTGTGTGTGTGTGTGTATATATGTATATATATATATATATATATATATATATATACACGCACACACAAAAACACACACACACATATATATGTATATATATTCATATACAAATATATATAAAATATATATATATATATATATATATATATATATATGAAAAAAATATATACGGAAAAAACAAACAAAAATCCTTATATACAATTATGCTGTTTTAATGTTAATATGTCAACGTCTGACGTTTCGGTCTAATAAACCATCTTCAGGACATATTCATAAATATAACATTATCAATACAACATGACAAAAAGACGATGTACATAAGAACAAGACTTATCCAAACAAATAACTGAAAGTTTTATAAGATCAGCGCTCCATTTAAAACATGGTCACGTTGTCGTCACGTGGGCGACGCTGTGAAAACGTATTCCTAAAATTTTGAGTATTTTGAATGAAAATGAACATGGTCACGTTGTCGTCACGTTGTTTGGATAAGTCTTGTCTTATATAAGAATTTTTGTTTTGTTTTTTCCGTATATATTTTCCTTCATACTGTCGGATCTATATCCATATATTTGCTAACATATATATATATATATATATATATATATATATACACGTGTGTGTGTACGTGTGTGTGTGTTAAAATGCAAGTTAATAAATACAAAGCGGCGTTACTTTTGACAGTCGAATCCGAGGATGTCAGTCTACTAGGGCGTTTGGTTAATCCCCATTGCAGACGCCTGCTCTGGCACATTTGTATTTGTTCAACGCCCACACAGCTACCCTGTGGTTTATACTACACTTATGCTGAGCAGGCTTTAATTACAGTCTCTTGGAGAGAAGCGTGTTATCTAACGTGATCAACAATCTGAACAAGGCTAGCGCACTCAAACACCTCGGTCAAGATGACTTGTGATTTCGTGCTAGCTCAAACAACGAGGGCTACCAAGGGTTCAGTCTGCCTAATTTTACTCGCAAGTCTTTCGGCGTCTCGTGGTATTTCAAAGATGACTCACGCTAGGATCACCTCCTCCAGAGCGATAACATCAGGAAGTCACCTTCCCGACAAATCGACCATGGTGAGATTCGAACCCAGCTCTCATGGCCAGAAAGCAAACGTTCTCACCACACGGCTACATACTTATAAATGACTGGGACCATATCATCAAAGTAATTATGAAAATGCAAGAAAAAAGATCAGACAAAAAAATAAAAAAATAAGATATCGAACAAAGAGAATGAAGAAAGGAAATAAAGAAATAAAATGAAAGAAGAAAATGAAGAAAAAAAGGAGAAATAAATGAATGAAATAAGCAAGCAAATAATAATAAAGGAATGTGAGCGACAAATGAGGAAACAAATGAAAGAAAGAAAGAAATGGAGAAAGGTTCAATGAATGAATGAGTAAATGAATGAAATTCAGAAAATAAATGGAAGAAAGAAACGAACAAAGAAGAAAAAAGAAAATGAATAAAGAGGGTAAAGAAATCAAATATGGAAAGAAAATGGAAAAATTTATGAAAGAAGGAAACATGCAAAAAGGAACGGAAAAAAGAAACAGTGATAAAAATGGCTAAAAAGAAATGAAGGAAAATGAAAGAAAAATAAACATAATAAAGAAAGATTCAGTATAGGAATGAATGAAATAATATGATAAAAGAAATTAAAAGTGGTACTTGTATTATACAATACTACACGTTTTCAGATATTATTAATACATTTATTAATTTAACCTGTTGTAACCTAGAAAGGGTTACTGAATGCGGAGTAACCAAAACGGAGGTTGGACATGAAATGGTAATCTTTATAACATCAACAAAATACAATACTCGCCAGCGGCGTGAAGTAGGTAAACCACTGCTAGTGGTGGACTACATAGACAGAATATTACGATATTTACCTGCCTCTGCACGAGGATGAGGCACAATGCCAAATTTAATGTGGAGAAATTCAGTATAGGAATGAATGAAATAATATGATAAAAGAAATTTAAAAAAATACAAGAAAGAAAACAGAAAAAAGAATAAATAAAATAGAAACAAATAGAGTAATGAAATAAAATAATGAAAAATTTAATGAAAGAAAGAAAATGATGATAATAAAAATCTAAAAGAATAAAATAAAGAAATAAATGTTTAATGAATTAAAAAAAAATGAATGAAATCATATAATTAAGAAAATTCAGAAAAGTACATGAAAAAAAAAACGAACAAATAATGAACAAGAAAATAAAGAAAGAGAGTAAGGAAATAAAATACTGAAGGAAAAAGAAAGAATTTATGAAAGAAAAAACGAAGAAAAATATAAGAGAATGAAATAATGAAAGAAATTAAAAGAAACGGAAAAAAGAAAGAAATATAATAATTGCTAAAAGGAGAGTAATAAATGACAACGAACGAAAAAAAGAAGTAAATGTTCAATGAATGAATAAATGAAAGAAAACATATCATCAAAGAATTTCTTTTTAAATATCAGAAAGAATGAATAAATGAGAAAATAAAAAGTAATGTAAGATAATAATGTAAATCCAAAAATAAGAAATTTTATGAAAGAAATAAAACGAAGAAAACGCAATGAAATAAAAGAATAAAATACGGATGAAAGAAAATACAGTGAAAAGGCAAGATACCAATGGCAAAAAATAAAAATATTGAAGAAGAAAATTGGGTGAAAATATGAAAAATGAAAGAAAAAATTCTTCACTGAATGAATAAATGGCCGAAATAACACCATGCAAAAAAAACAAAAAAAAAAACAAAAGAAAACAACAAATGAATGAAAAATAAAATAATGAAGAAATAAAGACGAATACGAACTACGAGAAAAAAGAAAAAAAATGAAAAAAAAGAATTTATTAATGAATGAAAACAAAGAAGAAAGAAGAAATAAATAAGGAAAGAAAGAGAAACATAAAAAAGAATGAAATATAATAATAGTGACAACTAATGAAGGAAAACGGAAGAAAAGAGAGAATAAATAAGAAAGAAAATACAAAAGAAAGAAAGAAGAAAAAGAAAGAAAAATAACTGAATAAATGAAAGAAATGACATTATCAAAGAAATTAAGAAAATACGAAAAAGGAGAAACAAAAAAAAATGAACAAGAAAACCAAAAAAAAAAGTAAGGAAATAAAACATTGAAAAAAAGAAAGAGTTTATGCAAGGAAAAAACGATGGAAAAAAAATAAAGATATGAAATAAGGAATAAAAAAAAAAGAAACGTGAAAAGGAAAGAAATATAATAATATGGAAAAAGAAATGAAGAAAAAACGAAAAATGAAACACACTGAAGAAAGAAAGATTCAGTGAAAAAATGAATGTCATAATATGATCAAAAAATACAAGAAAATAGAAAAAAGAACGAATAAGAAAATAAAAAATAAAATAAGGAAATAAAATAATGAAAGAAAAAGAATGAAATAAAGAAAGAAATAAAAAGAAATATAATAATAGCCAAGTGGAAACAAATGAAGGAAAACGAAAAAAAAATAAATATAAAAGAAAGAATGAAATAATGAAAGAAATGTTCAATGAATGAAAGAGTGAATGAACTCATATAATGAAATAAATGAAGAAAAATACAAAAAATTAAAGAGAAAAATAATGAATAACAAAAGCAATAAATAGAGTAAGGGAATAAGATAATGAAAAAATAAAGAATTTATCATTGAAAAAAAAAACGAAAAAATAAAAATAGAAAAGAACGAAATACGGAGACAAATAAAGAGAAGAACACAGAATGAAATAGAATAATTTCGAAAAAAAATAATGAAAGGAAACGAAAGAAAAATAAAGAGAAGGAAGAAAGAAATAAAGAAAGGAAAAAAAAGAAAAGAAAGCTACACTGAATGAAAAAAAAAATGAAATCATGTAAAAAATAAGGAAAATACTAAAAAATAGAAAAAAGAATGAATAAGAAAACCGAGAAAGAGTGTATGAAAATAAAATAAAGAAAGAAAAAGAAAGAAAGAGTTTATGAAACAAAAAAATAAACGAATGAAATAAGGAAAGAAACACAGCGAAACGCAACAAAGAATGAAATGCTATAATGGCGAAAAAATAATGAAAGAAAACGAAAGAAAAATGAGAGAACAATAGAAAGAAAGAAACCAGGCAAAAAAAAAAAATGGTTTATCCAATGAATAGATAAATGAATGAAAACAAATCATCAAAGATCTCGTCAAAAAGAAAATCATAAATTAAACGAAAATTTTGCAAATAGACGAAATATATGGCGAATAAGTTAATGAATAAAATCCATTTTGGAAATAATGATAAACTAAACGAACATTTTAAAGGGAGGTAACCCAGTCAATAAAGCAATGAATTCAGAAAGGGGGCGAAAAAATTATTCAATATTTCATTTGTACTTGTTAGCGTTTTAAAAAAAAAAGTGTAAAAAGGAATAGGTTACATTGCAGGAAAGAAAGACATGAATGACATTACTAATGATGGGAAAATTACTGTCGACGGGAAGAGTAAAAATAAAATTGGTAAAAATGAAAAAAAAAATCATCTCTAAAGAATGAAATAAAAAAAAAATAATATGAAGTGAATAAAAAGCTAATATCCAGTTTTTCCAATTTTGGGAGAAAGATATCATCCCCAGGTTGTCGCCACCGTATTTTATATGACTTTCTCTTTGTTGTCTATTTTCAAATTATATGGCCGCTTATGTGATTCAAACTGAATCGTTTTTTTTTTTTTTTTTTCAAATGAAAAAAAAATATAATCACTTTCCGATTGGTGAAAAAAACCGAAGCGCCCTCTGGCAGTAGATCTTGTATCATATTAATAAAAGACGTAATGATAGCCTCATTACATTTTTTTCGTTTTTGCTGACAGCGGCCTTGAACGCAAATAATCTGCCTGTGCCGTCATCATACATAAGTCTTTATATACGGTGTTTTTCCCCGTTCTCATGGCGTTTTTCTTTTTTAAAATCCATGATTTTTCTTCTTCATTATCTTCTCTTATTACTACTCATTCAGCTGCATGTTGGCCTCAGCTGACCGGTGCTTGTAACTGAAGATAGAATATCTTCTTTTTTTTTTACATACTCAAGTATCTTTCTTACAGACGCAATACTGCAAGTCTGGCGCTACACTATCGCTATTTCCATAGCAAAGGTTCCAGTGGGCTTCATTTTTTAATTCCACCTGTTCAGACCTTTACAGCTAAGAGACACGCCATACTACTGAGTTGAATCCCCGTGTCCAAAATGGAAGAACAAAGAACGGTAACTCCGTGGAATAGACTTCCAGGAGGTAGCTTCCTTGAACACTTCAACCTTGACCTCTTCAAGTCAAGGATCATTTGGTATTTATCTTCCTTATTTTCAAGATCTTGACCTCCTACTATATATATATTCTTTCATACCACACATAGAACTCACAATTATCATATTAAACAGTAGCCCTCTATATTGAGTGGTTTAGGACAACCTCATCTCACCAATGAATTTGTTATTCTTCCTCAATCGCAAGCAGAACCTTCCGGATCTTCCCACTGAAAACGCATCACCCTGTAAATTTTATGTTTGGTTTGGTATGGTTTAGGGCATAATAATATACTGCCGTATGTCCTCTTCTTCTCCGTTCAGCTATGGGTAAATATCAGGACAGACTTCTATCAGTTCTATAGCCTTGGGTGGCAACTGCTCTAGGAGAAGGACAACTCTGAATTCAAATCGTGCGGAGGGTCGTTTGGGGACCCTGTGGCACGTAGTGCACCAGGTCTCATACGTCGAATACGACGGGACAGTTGAATATATATCTTTGTTTCACGTGAAAATCAGACATCTGTCTACTTTTTTGCTTCACGTGTACACGAAATCTATGTTAACGTTTTTGACATGCCTATATGCACCTTTCAATATATATATATATATTATTAATAGAAAATATTATAATATTATAATATTATAATAATAATTATTATAATTAATATTAATAGAAATCTTATAAGTATAAGAAACTATATTCACTCGGAAAACCTTCCGTGTATTGATTTGAAAATAAACAAGCCAATACCAAAGTTGGAAAAAAAGGTATAAAAAAAGAAAGAATCAAGAACATGTACGTTAACCGAAAATAATCGTCCTGCATACGAGTTCAAGGGCGAAAGAAAAAAAATCCGATGAGGGTACCCAAAATAACCAACTAAATACTCAATACAATGAGTAGAGCAGACCTAGTTAAACTTAGAGAGCCAGACAAACCTACCAAGGTTTCACCTAAGCGGATCGTCAGGGTAGGCTGGCTAACAAGGTAAAAAAAGAACGGAATATATAGTCAAAAAAAAAAAAAAAACATAACCACGTGACCAAAAAAAAAAAACCCCAAAAAACAATCAAACAACGAACAGGGTTGGGGAGTACCATTTATTCAAAATTGACGAAAGAGAGAGGAGGGATGGTGAGGGTTAAAAAACCCCAGATAGACAGAAGTGGAACTATTTATTCAATCGAAAAAAATAATAATGAATATAAAATATACTATATAATATATAAAATAAATAAAAAATATTAATTATTTGGGAGAGGAGACCTAGTCTAATAACCAACGTTTTCTATGTCTACATTTGTTTAGAATTTCGGTTTTAGAATTTAATAACTGATTAGGTTCCCTATATAAAGCTATAGCTAATTTTTCCTCAAGACATAATTTACAAAATTTATAACCTGCTCTATATTTAGAACATCTTTTTAATATTTCCCATTTCAGGATGGAATCTTTGTTATTGTCTAGTCTGATTTTCCATATATAGTTAGATAGTGTAGTACTATATTTGTTTTTTTTTCATTATTAAAGCTACTTATATGGTTGTAATATCGTTATTTAAACACATTTTGAGTAGCCCCTATGTATACTTTAAGGTTTATATCATTGTTGTAGTCATTTATGTCCTTATATGTTTTAACCTGGGACATCAGATGTTGAGAGGCTGTACGTGCCAAGAGTTTTAGAAGGCCAAGTTTTAATCTTTAAACTTGAACTAACTGTATAAACTACAACAATCGGATTGGAAACATACTTCACAAAAAAAGAAGAAGAAATGACCCTCTCCTGCAAGTAGTAAAACACTACAATATGAATAAAGAAGCTGAACTCTTCAAGAATAAGCTATAAATACTTGAAATTCTATCAACATAAAACGAAGCGAATACCATCAACGCCAAACGGGTAAAACAAAAAGCAAAACAACTTGGCCAAATGAAATTAGAAAAAAAAATATACGGAAGGACAAACCGTTGCATGGCAAATACCTAAAAAGATTGAAAGAAGCAGATATCGACCACCAAAAAAACACATTAGTGGCTGAGGAGCACCGGGCTGAAAACTTAGAAAAAAAGGCCAAATTATTGCAGCTCAGCACCAAAACTTCGCAACTAGGTCCTATCTCTGTCACATAATCAAGGATGGGACTAACCCGATTTGCAGGAGCTGAGGAAGATATGATGAAACTGTCGACCATTTTATCTCACGATGTCCGGAACTCGCAAAAAAAATGAATATACCTACAGACATAACAAGATAACGACATATGTGCAGTGGAAGATAAGCAAGAAGCACAAAATCGAAACCACTGAGAGATTGTATGAGCACCAACCAGACACAGTTGCACAAAATAAAGATGTAACTATCCTCTGGGACATGCCAATTCACACTGACAGGAAATTAAAAGCCAACGGACCTGATATTATCATAAAAGGCAAGAGATTCAGGAAGTGTAGGCTTATTGACATAACAGTACCATCTGAGAGAAACAGCTCCATGAAAATTATCGAGAAATTGTCCAAATAAAGGCAAGAGATTAACAGGATGTGGGAAGGAAGACTGAGATTGTACTAATAATAATTGGAGATCTGAGCCACATGAGAAAGGAATGGACAATTTTACTAAAGTGTTCCAGGTAACCATCTCAGAAGATCTCCCTACTAGAATATCCCATATATAAGAAAATTATCAATTAGATGAAATTGTCCAATAGGGCCCAAGGACCATAGTTTGACCCGGATCCAGGATACAAAGCAGGAAACATGACATATACAAATAATAATAATAATAATAAAAAATAGGATGTGGGGAATGAAGACTGAGATTGTACCAATAGTAATCGGAGGTCTGGGCCTCGTGAGAAAAGGAATGGACTATTTTACCAACAGTGTCTCAGGCTACATCAACCTACAAGTTGCCCAGAAGATCGCCCTACTATGAAGAATCCCATATATTAAGAAAAGTGCAGTCAATTAAATGACAATTCTCCTATAGGGCCTAAGGACCATAGTTTGGATCCGGCTCTACAGGATACAAAGCAGGAAACATAACATACACAAATAATAATAATAATAATCTAACCGTACCAAACAAAGTGATGTAGAAAAATCCTGTGCTTATCTGTGGCTACGTAGTGCAGGGTTAAAAGCTGAAACCGAATGTTTTACTCTTGCTTTACAAGAGCAATGCTTCCTAACTAGAAATTACCAAACACGCATCCTGAAAAATCGTGTTAACCCGAAATGTAGAGTCTTTGATAAATATCCAGAAACAAATGGCCACCTTGTATCATTTTGCACGATATTAGCACCTACTGAATATAAGCCAAAAGACGTATTGTAAAGGCCTGGCAGGGTTAGGGTTAAGCAGAGTAATACGAGGCAGGAGGGTTTTGTTGGTAACAAAGAAAAGAATGTAAACATTCTACGTGATATCTGTCTTCTTTTATGGCAGCTTAAATCAAGAAACACAACATGCACAGATAATATTAAAATAATAATAATAATAATAATAATAATAATAAAAATAATAATAATAATTTTTATTATTATTATTATTATTATTACAGTTTACTTTCTGTTTTGTACAGACCCAAGATCCAGATTTTGTTAAAGTGCTAAATATATGCAGTCTTTGTGTTTAATCATCTCACCCCAAGCAAGGCAATAAAACCTCTAACACGCAGCGGATTACAGAGTGTTACAGAATATGAGAAGAAAAAAAACTCTGTTAAGAAGAGAGAACAATAAAAGAACAGGACAGTATTTACATTAGTCGGACTATTGTCCTCATCTTTGTCGCCATATTTGTCACAACGTTTCGGCCGTTGTACGATCCGGCCTTCTTCAGGTGGTTGGAATTTCGAACTGAACCCTTTATTTCGATCGCTGGGGTAGACTGTTCTAATTCCACAAGGACACATGGCACAGTGGATAAAGGCGTTGGTTAGATCCAGTGACAGACCCAAAGAAGGTGAGTTCAATTCCTGGTTAAGGCAGTGGAGAACTTTCAGAGGGAAAAATTAGCAGGAGATAACTGATAACTGACATCCATCAAACATGGCACGTGGAATTAGAACAGTCTACCCCAGCGATCGAAATAAAGGGTTCAGTTCGAAATTCCAACCACCTGAAGAAGGCCGGATCGTACAACGGCCGAAACGTTGTGACAAATATGGCGACAAAGATGAGGACAATAGTCCGACTAATGTAAATACTGTACATAATACCTCATCTCAGAAATATAGACAAACTCCAAAAGAACAGGAATTAAGAAAAACAGAAGATAACGACTGACGTTGCATTTAAATTTTTGAAGATCAAAA